TGCAGGTTAGTGTCTGGGAGCAGTGGGCTACCCCAGAAAGCCGAGGTGTGGAGCAGGCAGCCCACCTAGGTTTGTAGAACCGCTCTGTGATGTTCACACAGTGAAACTGCCTAATGACACATTTCTCAGAACGCGTCTCCATTGTCATGAGACACGTGACTACTTTGCAGACACTCAGTATGGGGTAAGTGAATTCCAATTAGTCTTGGGTTTGTGAAACCTCACACCAGTTTCCTGTTCCCCTGTCTCTTCAGACACATGGTGACAGATCAGTGGTATGAGGCAATGTCCCCAAGTCCAGGGAGCTTGTGGCTAACCTTTCCTGGACACTTACTCAGAGCCACGTACATTGCTAAAAACTTTACATGAATTTTCTTGTTTGGTTTTAACGAGGAAGTAAATACTTTCACTCATTTTTCTAAGGAGAAACTGATGCACAGAGAGGTTAAGTAACTTACCAACATACGACGCAGCTGTGAGCGGCACTAAAGCCTACTCCAAAGCTCTGCTCTAACCACAAAGTTTGTGTGCCAGAAGCTTCTGTGAGGCTTTGGACTTCCAACAGGTGAAAACAGGAAGTGAAGGGGGCATAGTAACAGCAACCCAAGGAAGAGGAAGTTTGAAAAAGTGTTTTATCCTCTCATGTATTTAAGTTGCTATTTAAAAGTTTTCATCAGGGCCCAGCAAATAGCGTAATGGTTACGATGCTAGACTCCCACGTAGTTGATCGCGGTTTGAGTCCCAAACCCAGCGGCTTAAAACTCACACTGAGTGGGAACCAGCAGTTAGCGTAATGGCTATGTCGCTGGACTCCCACGTAGTCGACTGTGGTTTGCGTCCCGGACCCGGTGGCTTAAACTCGCACTGGGTGCGTGTGTGTGCGTGCCCAAGATCCCGAGAGGAGAATGGAGGAGAAGGGATTGTGGCGTGACCATCCCCCCTGGGGGGTGATTTCTCGCTTTCTGTCTCTATGTCTCTCTCTGTCTGTCTGGCGAGTGCACGCGCCCTATAGCAAAAACCTCTCCCCCCCCCAAAAAAAAAAAACCTCACACTGGGTACGTGACTGTGTGCCCCAAATCCTGAGAATGGAGGAGATGGGATTGTGACACCCCCCAGGGGTGATGTCTCACTTTCTGTCACCCCCTATAGCACAAATTTCTCGCTAAAAATAAACATTTTCATCATAAATTTAAATAGTTGCAATGGATAAGAATTCTGGAAAATTGTAAATACTGACATTTTAACATAAAACTGTTAAATTGCTTTTTTATAATGCGTCCCAACAGAACCTACATAACAACTGAATAACTACCATAATCCATTAAAAATATACTAATGTGGGGTTGGCTGATGGAGTGGTGGTCAAGGTGCTGCACTCCCACGTGGCTGACTGTGGTTTGAGTCCTGGACCTGGCAGCTTGCTTTCTCACTCTCCCTCTCTCTCTCTCTGTCTCTCTCTGATCAAACTGAAAAATAATAAAATAAAATAAATAATTATTTAAAAATACACTAATAAGCGCTTCAAGGTTATTTTTGTCATTTCTATAGTTAGGTCCTACTATACCAAAAAATCTTATTCAAATGTAATTTTTTAAAGAAAAAATTACTTATTTTTTATTTTTAAAACATTGCTATAGGACCTATGTGCTCACTAGAAAAAGACAGAGAGGGAAAGTAAGAAAGATAGCTGCCAGGTCTGGGACTCAAACTGCGGTCGGCCATGTGGGAGGCCAGTGTTTTAACCACTGTGGTATCTGCTGGCCCCAAAAATGTAATTTTTTTTTTTTTTATTTTTTAAGAGAGCTTTTTGCTTTAGGACACGTGTGCTCACTGGAGAGACAGAGAGAGAGAGAGGGAGAGTGAGAAAGCAAGCTGCCAGGTCCAGGACTCAAACTGCAGTCGGCCATGTGGGAGTCCAGAAACATAACCACTACACCACCTGCTGGTCCCACACATGTATTATTTTGATGTTTGTTTGAATTTTTTTTTTTCTTTTTTTTCAGTTTTCCTATAGGACATGTGCAATTGCCAGAGAGAGAAAGAAAGAAATCACCCTCTGAGGGGATGGCTATGCCAAAATACTTTCTTCTGCAGTCTCCTCTTTGGGTCTTGGGCATGCATGCACACACGCCCAGTATAATTTTTTTTTTTTTTGAGAGGTTTTCACTATAGGGTGCGTGTGCTTGCCAGACAGACAGAGAGAGACAGAGAGACAGAAAGCGAGAAATCACCTCGCAGGGGGGATGGCCACGCCGCAATCCCTTCTCCTCCATTCTCCTCCCGGGATCTTGGGCACACATGCACACGCGCCCGGCGTGAGTTTTAAGCCACCGGGTCCGGGATGTGAACTGTGGTCGACTACGTGGGAGTCCAGTGACATAGCCATTATGCTAACTGCTGGTTCCCCCAGTATAGTTTTCTAGCCACCAAATCAGGGACTCAAACTGCAAAGATAGCCATGTAGGATCCAGTGTGACAACCTCCATGCCACCTGCTGGCCCTAAATTTTTTAAAAACAATTTTAAAACTTTTTATGTTTTTGCCATAAGGTGCATATGCTTGACAGAGAATAAAAGTGAGAAATCACACCACTCCCCTGGGAGGGATGGCTACACCCACAATCCCTTCTTCTCCATTCTCCTCCAGGATTCTGGGCATCCACGTACACACGCCCTGAATGATTTTCAAGATGCCAGGTCCCAGGATCGAACCACAGATGACCATGTGGGAGCCCAGCACCTTGTACCATGCCACCTGAGAGGCATCCCAGGAGGGTCTTCATGCCCTAAAACACCCCCAGCTTCAACCAGCTTAGATCACTGGCAAATACGCCAAAAATCAAACACTGTTCCTTCATTAGCTGACAACTCAGTCAGGTCCACTGATACTTTTTTTTTTTTTTTAATTTACATACGCACTTTCTGGAGATAGAAAGAGGGAAAATGAGGAAGTATCCCCATAGGGCCTGGTCATGCTGAAATCCTTTCTCCATCTTTTCTGTTTGGGGATTTTGAGTACCCACACTCTGGTCTGATGCCGCATTTCTCAAGCTGGCTGTCCTGAACTCTACCCCAGCAGCCAGCCACGTGGAATCCAGCAGCCTGAACTACCACACAAACCTTCTTATCAAGTGCTGGCGTACACCATTAACTTTGGAAGAAAGCAAAGAAGTGGAAACCATCTGACTTGCAGAATTTGTTATCCTATTACTGTTCACTTTCTCAACTGACTTTTTTTTTGTTATTTAACTTTATTTTACTTATTTATTTTAATTTGACCAGAGAGGGACAGAGTGAGAGAGGAAAAGTAAGAAAGCAAGCTGCCAGGTCCAGGACTTGAACCATGGTCAGCCATGTGAGAGTCCAGCGCCACCATCACACTACCTGCTGGCCCCATCAAGTGACTTAATTATACTGATTATTCTCACTGAGACAGGGGTGAGAAATTCCAGATAATGTTCATCTCAACCCATCTTCAGCAGTACAATTGCACTGCAAATATAATTGCGGCTACAGATTTAGCCCAGTTTATTCTGAATAATAATTATGCAAATTAGCAATGGCAGTCTGTCACACCAATTAAACAAACCAGATCTACTTTTAGTAAGAAAAATTCTGACTTTGGGACCAGCAGTTGGCATAATGGCTATGTTGCTGGACTATCTTGACGGCGGTCTGAGTCCCGGACCTGGTGGTTAAACTCACGCTGGGTGCATGTGCGTGCATGCCCAAGATCCGGAGAGGAGAATGGAGGAGAAGGGATTGCAGTGTGGCCATTCCCCCTGGGGGGTGATTTCTCACTTTCTGTCTCTGTTTTTCTGGCCAGCAGATGCACCCTACAGTAAAAACCTCTCAAAGAAAAAAAAAAAATCCGACTTCACTTCTCAAGTCAAATCAGCGTGTTCACAGTCATGCCAGGGACCACATTCCACTTCTCGATTCCAAGACGGAAATGGCACTGAGCCTTGAAGAGTTTGTCCCCGAGGGAAGTAAGGTCTTTGGTTTCAGGTGCTTCGGCCCACGCTGTCCGTGCTGTGCTCCTGGGCAGTCAGACACAATGCCTCTCCAGAGAAGACGAGATCTTTAAGTGAAAGTTCTCATCAGTACCGTCCGCTCTCTAGCATTGCTGAGGTTGCAACACCCCAATAATGGGCCAAAGAACTCCATTTACCAACGACGCCTTCCCTCGCTTTGAAGGTGGCGCAGAGACGCAGGACCACCGTTCACACAGCAGCTGTTTGGAGAAGTGACTCAGGGGGCTGGACAGCTGCTCTCCTAGCCTTCCGGCTACACCCCGACATCCGTCGGCTCGTTCCGGCCGGGGAAAGCACAGCAGGTGCCGCCGCCCAGTCAGTGCGAACCGCGGACCCCAGGGCGAGGCTGGAGCCGTGCGACCGCCGAGGCCTGGGCGGTGCTGCCCGGCCCTGGAAGAAAGCCGGAACTCGGGACAAGAACTCAGGGTGGAGAGGAAGGGGAAGAATGTGGGTGCGACGCCGCTCCGCAGGGGCCGGAACTCCAAGGCTGGGCTCCCGCCCTCTTTGGGCCGGAAGTGGGGAAGACGGGCCTGGTCCTTTCTCGGCAGAAACTCGCAGGCTGGAGGAGGAGTGGGCAAGTGGAAGACTGGCTGCAAGAAGCTGGCGGCCACGCGGAAGGGGTGGGATGGAGCCCCAAGTGCAACTAATTCTGAGAGATTGGGATAGAAACCAACATCTAAAGCTGGCTACATTTACCCTTCTTGGATTGATAGAAAAGGCCATTTTACAAAAACACACCTGAGATTGATATTGCTACGGCACCACGGGGACGCGCTGAGGGGACGGCTGTCAGTGGAGCACCGGTGCATGCTGAAGGAGCCGGCAGAACCGGGTGGCCATGGGGATGTGGGCGTCGCTGGACACGATGTGGGAGATGCCGGTCGAGAAGCGTTATCTTCGGGGCCGTGCTGCTCTTCTCGTGGACAGTGTATCTCTGGGAGACCTTCCTAGCACAGCGGCAGGAGCCCTTCCTAGCACAGCGGCAGGTGAGCCTAGGCAGGGCCCACCTGACCCCGACCCCAGCCCTGCCCTAGGCCAGCCTCGGCCTCGACCCAAGTCCTTGGATGTTCGCTCCAGTCTCAGCACCGGTCACGACACTCGTCCCTGCCGAGCCTCCTAGCGTGGCCCGATGGCGGGCTGTCGGCCGGGAGCGGGTCTTGGTGGCTCAGGGAAGTTTTCCGCAGCCTTATGGTGGACTGCAGCCCGTGTGGGCCTGAGAGGGAGGGGTCCGCCGTCTGGGCTCCAGCTCCTGCGCCTGCCCTACGGCTTCCACCCCAACCTAGCCTCCTTTTTCCTTGCAGTAAGTCTGCAGAAGGGAGATGTTAACATTTTAGAATCCTGCCGTTTGTGTAATCATGCTTGACCACAGCATTAGGAAACCATTTTCTGAAAATGAAGATTGTGCCATCCTCCTCTCTTTAAAATGCACATGCTGTTTTTGCCCCCCAAAACGTTATTTTCTTGTTTTTCATAAAAGCATCGTCATTATTTTTGTTTTTAAAAATTAAAATAGTGAAGTAGAAAGTGAAAATTCCTTCATAACAATTCCCAGGAAGTAATCATACTTAACAGCTTGTTGGACTGGAGATCTGAACTTTTTAAAAAACTATTTTATTTAATTTTACTCATTGTCATTATTATTATTTATTTTTATTTGAAGTTGACCAGAGAGAGACAGAGAGAGAAAGTGAAAAAGCAAGCTGCCAGGTCCAGGACTCGAACCATGGTCAGCCATGTGGGAGTCCAGCCACTCTAACCACCATGCCATCTGCCAGCCCCAAGATCTGAACTTTTAAATGAGATCAACTTTAATTGACAGTTTTATTGCAATTTTTTTATACTGTTTGCTTTACCTACAGTCTTCCATGTCGATGATGGCTATGAGAACATTTCTTAACTACTGGATCTTTTTTTTTTTCCATGTCTGTATTCCTTTGCTAACTTCTCTCACTTTACATTCTGCATGAATCTTTAAACGGGAAGTTTTGATCTTTCTGTGCGTGTCAGTGTCTTCCTTTAGTTCACAATGTTTGGAGAGAGACGTGAGCTGTATAACTCAGTATTCTGACTTAGCTTTTTGGACAACTTCATTACTGCGGAATCTTGGTGACCTAGAGAAGATCCTTTACTAGAGAACACGCATGGAATGTGGGGTCTAAGTTGTGGACTGGGGGTTTGAACCCTATCTTATTTTAGTAATAAGCCTAGTTACAGTAACTGCTTTTCAGTAGTGTCTTTAGAGTTAGGCTTTAATGCCCTCAATTTTTATTGACATACAAATATATATATATCGAGAAAGTATTTTCGTAAAACCATTGTAGAAGTGTGATCCATTATATTGTTTGATATCTGTTCCTGGATTATATCCCATATGCTGAAATTCCTTCTTAGAATTTGGTATAATGAAAAGTTAGTCTTTTTTCAAAAACCTGATGTTTCTGCCACTCTTCAAATTTCCTTTCATTTGGCTTTAATTTTTTTGACCAGCCACCTATCTCTTAAAATTCATGGTTAGTGTTTTTGCTGCTTCCCCTTTCCACGAATTTGTTTTCTAATACGGGTTATATGTCATCTCCAGAATGAGTTGTACCTTTCATGATGTTACAGTTTTGGTTTACATGTGCAAACTGGAGTGGGATGACAATCCTGATTTTTATTTTACCTAGGCAGCTAGCCTCAGCTTCTCTTGTTCTGTTTTTTTTGTTTGTTTGTTTGTTTGTTTGTTTGTTTGTTTTTGAGAGGTTTTTGCCATAGGGCGCGTGCGCTCGCCAGAAAGACAGAGAGAAACAGAGATACAGAAAGCGAGAAATCACCCCTTATGGGGGATGGCCACGCCACAATCCCTTCTCCTCCATTCTCCTCTTGGGATCTTGGGCACGCACGCACACGCGCCCGGCGTGAGTTTTAAGCCACTGGGTCCAGGACGCAAACACAGTCGACTACCTAGGAGTCCAGCGACATAGCCGTTACGCTAACTGCTGGTCCTTCTTGCTCTGTTTTTGTTTTCCTGCATGAGTTGTTTCAGTAGTCATTGCACTTGATCAAGTGAAATATTTGTATGTCTGTAAAGCAAATTCAACAGAAGTGGCAGTGCTATAGACCATTAGTGACTGTTGTAATAAGCAACTGACCATTTCACTAACGTGCATTTTTTTCAAAATATTTCAGAGAAGGATATATAAAGCAACAACCCATGTACCACCAGAGTTAGGACAGATCATGGATTCTGAAACATTTGAGAAATCTCGGCTGTATCAACTGGATAAAAGCACTTTCAGCTTCTGGTCAGGACTCTACTCAGAGATCGAAGGCACAGTGAGTAATTTACTTCTTGGAGAGATAGTCTCTCAAATTGTTTAACACCATGTAATTTTTCTTTTCATTTTCATATTTTTATGACACAAAAGAGAACGCCACACCTAGGTGTCCCAGAATGCTTTTTTAACCTTTGTTATTGACAGTTATGGGTGTGGAGCAAAACCCCAGAAAGGTAGCTGCTTTATCAATTGAAAAGTGTGAATATGGTAACTGTCACCCGAGGCCAATTTACACCTGCTGTGCAATGTTACTCTTTTTTTTTTTTTTTTTTTGGAGAGGTTTTTTTGCTATAGGGTATGTGCGCTTGCCAGACAGACAGAGAGAGACATAGAGACAGAAAGTGAGAAATCACCGCCCAGGGGGGATAGCCACACCACAGTCCCTTCTCCTCCATTCTCCTCTTGGGATCTTGGGCACGCACGCACACGCACCTGGCGTGTTACCAGGTCTGGGACGCGAACCGCAGTTGACTACATGGAAGTCCAGCAACATAGCCATTACACTAATTGCTGGTCCCAGAATGTTACTCTTATAGGCCCTTCTGCTCCTCCTGCCTCTACCTCAAGACCGTCCCCATCCTCTATGTTGCTGTAGAAGGAATGTTTCTGAAGCACAATTTTCATCACATTATTCTGTGTAAAGCTTTTTTTTTTTTTTTTTTTAAGATTTTTGATATACAACGTGTGTTCTTGCTAGAGAGAAATAGAGACAGTAAGGGACCAGCAGTTAGCGTAATGGCTATGTCACTGGACTCCCATGTAGTTGACCACAGTTTGAGTCCCAGACCCGGTGGCTTAAACTCACATCAGGTGCATGTGTGTGCATGCCCAAGATCCTGAGAGGAGAATGGAGGAGAAGGGATTGCGGTGTGGCCATCCCCCCCGGGGGGTGATTTCTCACTTTCTGTCTTTCTGTCTCTCTCTGTCTTTCTGGTGAGCACAAAAACCTGTAGCAAAAACCTTTTCAAGAAAAAAAATAGAGGCAGTAAGAGGAAAGTGTGAAATTACCCTCCCAGAGGGGATGACCATGCCACAGTTCCTTCTCCTTCACTCTCCTCCAGGGATTTTGGGCACACATGCACATACATATGAGCCTAGCGTGATTTCCAGGCCACCAGGAACAGGACTCGAACCGTGCTCAACTGTGGTCAGGTTCAGTCATGCGCCCCAATCACCATGCTACCTGCTGGTCCCTGTAAAGCCTTTTAGTAGCTTGGTTTCTCTCAGGGAAAAGTCCAAATTTCTCTTGGTTTATGAAGTCTTTGACTTGATCCTTGCCTACTTGAGCCTCATCTTTTTATTCCTTCCCCCCAATTTTTCCTGTTTTCTGTTGTTCGTCTCATGCCAGCTGTGTTTCTTATGACTCAGTCTTCCACACACTACCTAGGTGCCCTTATCCTCTCCCTGCATCTCCATCCTCTCACTGGAGGCTGGTTCATCCCTGCTTTTTCATTAGTCTCCAGCTGAGATGTCATCTCTTCTAAAAAATCATTTGCAACTCTCCCTGCCTCACGTCCAGGTAAGGTAGCATCCTATGATTCCAAGTACCCGTCATAGCATGTTAAACTTGCCTGTTTAATCAGCAGGCTGCTAGCTCCTTAAGGAAAGGATATTTTATGACCTTGTGCATAATTTTACATCTAGTACCTGGCATGTAATAAGCACATAATTTATATTTATTAAATGAAACAATGAATGACAGGCCATTTTACTTAGCAGAACGTAAGGCTAGGAATACTCTCATGCTAAAAGAGTGGCTGGGAGTAGTAGATGGTTACCTTGCTAGACTCCCATGTAGTTTGACCTTGGTTTGAGTTCTGGACCCGGTGGCTTAAAACTCAATGCCAGGTGCGTGTGCGTGCATGCCCAAGATCCCGAGAGGAGAATGGATTGTGGTGTGGCCATTCCCCCTTGGGGGGATTTCTCACTTTCTGTCTTTCTCTGTCTCTCCAGCAAGCGCACGCACCCTGTAGCAAAATCTCTCTCTAAAAAACATAAAGAAGAAAAAGAAAAGAAAACAAGACGACTGGGCTAGCAGGTGACATGGTGGTCAAGGTCACATGTCCAATCATGTTTCAAGTCGCGGACCCAGAGATTTGGAAATCATCCTGGGTGCAATGTGTGTGCCTGCCTAACATCCAGACAGGAGAATGGTGGAGAGGGGATTGTAGCGTGGCCGTTGCCCCAGGGGCTAATTTCTCACTTTCCTGCTCTTTGTCAAGCATGATATGGCATACACACATGCACTCACCAGAGAGACAGAGAGATAGAGAGAGAAAGAATGAGAGAGACAGTGAAAAATCACCCCCAAGAGAGATGGCCACACTGCAATCTCTTCTCCTCCATTTCCCTCTCAGGATTTTGGGCACATACACACATGTACACAGCATGATTTTCTTTTTCTTTTTTTTTTTTTTAATTATTTTGTTTAACTTTATTCATCCACTTATTTATTTATTTCAGTTTGACCAGAGAGGGACAGAGTGAGAGAGACAGGCAGAGAGAAAGTAAAAAAGCAAGCCACCAGGTCCAGAACTCTTGGCTAAGTGGAAGGAATTCCAGCGTCCTCGACCACCACGCCACCTGCTGGTCACCATGGTATGATTTTCAAGCTGTGGGGTCCAGGATTTGAACCACACAACCAGCCATGTGGGATCCAGCTGCCTTAACCTCCACACCACCCGCTGACCTGGCTCACTTTTTATTTTAAAGAAAAATCGGGCTCATGCACAAAGCAAAAATTGCATAAAGCACAGATAAATATGTATAAAGTATAGAAACAGATATATAACACAACTATGGTTTTAACATCTCATGGAGCAGGTAATTAGGAAGAAAATATCTAAAAATCCCACAGGGGCAGAGTAAAGGGAGATAATGAAAAAAGATGGAAAAACACCACTCTATACTACCCTATAGCAAACTAAAAAAAAAAGTTAGAAGTGAATCTCAATTATTTTTTTGAGCCTCATGTTTCTCATCTTTAAAATGAGAAGTGGCTAGATACGAAACATCTTCATACGGTTGTGGCAAGGGCTAAGAGAGTCAGATAATGAAGACGAAGCACTTAAGACTGCTCAGCCTGGCAGTTACTTAGTCACTGGGTTTCTTTGGGCAGGTCACCTTAATCTCCCCGAGTTTCACTTGGCGTCATCTATAAAAGAGAAATGACTGTATTCCTTGCCCTGCCTGCTTTTCAAGGCTGTAATGAAATGGTGTATGTAAAAGCAATGGGATTGTTTTTGGTGGGATCATTCATTTTTGTCATAGGCCATCCCCAGGAGTGTGCTCAGTGAGTTTATCAACAGGGAAATTTTACAGCTTACCGTGCTTGTTTTTTATTCCTCAAAGTAAACAAAGTTTGGAATATCAGTTTCCAGTGTATTCATAGATCATTCAAAGTTTATATCAAAACTACTCTCGTTACATAGTTAAAACCTAGAGTCTTAATAATGGGTGTTCTAGCCTTCCTCCCAAAGCATCACAAATCCTTAATTCTGCATCAGTTATTAGTGTTAGGAATGGGATGAAAGAAAACCATCCTAGAACAATTACTTTAACAACTGGAGTAGATGCCAGACAGTGGTACCAAAGTATGTCTTTTCAGAAAACGAGGTTTATATCCAAGGCTGAGTTAGTCATAATGAAGGGACAATTCCTGGACATAGAGTTGAGGGCAATTTATTGAAACTGGGCTTTTCAAACTTTAGTGAATATTAAATTCATATGGAGATGATTCAGCCTCCTTTCTAGTTCCTGAGTCAGTAAGCTTGGGTTGTGGCCTGAGGTTTTCCTTTCTTTTAAGTTTTTTGCTGTTAGGTGTGTGTACTCACTAGAGACACAGACAGAGCAAGAGTGGGAAAAAGGAGAAATCCCCCCTGGTAAATGGCCATGCCACAGTCATTTCCCTGTCATTCTCCTTTGGGGACTTTTGGTACTCATGCACATTTGGAATGTTTTTATTTTTTTATTCATTCTCCTTTGGGGACTTTTGGTACTCATACACATTTGGAGTGTTTTTATTTTTTTTTTTAAGTTTTTCAAAGTGCCGAGTCTAGGACTTGAATCATAAAGTTGGCCACGTGGGATCCAGTCATCTTAACCACCACACCGCTGGCAGGCCCAGATTTGCATTTGTTCCACAGTCCCAAATGTTGTTGCCATTGTTTAGAGACCATATTTGTTTTGTTTTGTTCTCACTTAAAGAATTATTTATTTAATTATTAGTACTATTATTATTTTTTTTGGAGAGGTTTTTGCTCTTGGGTGCATGTGCTCTCCAGAAAGACAGAGACAGATAGAAAGCGAGATATCACCTCCCGGGGGTATGGCCATGCTGTAATTCCTTCTCCTCCATTCTCCTCTCAGAATCTTGGCATGCATGCATGCACGCCCGGCGTGAGTTTAAGCCACTGGGTACGGCACTCAAACCACTGTCGACTACGTGGGAGTCCAGCAACATAGCCATTATGCCAACTGCTGGTTCCTATTATTACTGTTTTAAAAATTTGATCACAAAGAGAGAGAGAGGGGGAAAGTGAAAGTGAGAAAGCAACCCACTGGGTCTAGGACTCAGACTGTAGTTGGCCATGTGGCAGTCCAGTGCCTCAACCACCATGCCACCTGCTGGCCCCTAGAGACCATATTTGAAGCCAAGGTATTAAACCAACACAAAATATTGCTTAAATCTAAAAAATGGATAGTGTAAAGTATGGGGGAGATTGTGAGAAAACAGGAATGCTCAGGTAATGCTGATGAGTGTAACTTTTTTTAATTAAAAATATTTTTAAATAATTATTTATTGCTATTTTATTTGTCATTATTATTATATTTTTAAGTTTGAATAGAGAGAGACAGAGAGAGAAAGGGAAAGTGAAAAAGCAAGCTGCCAGGTCCAGGACTCGAACTGCAGTCAGCCATGTGGGAGTCCAGTACCTTAACCACTGTGCCCCCTGCTGGCTCTGAGAGTGTAACTTCATGTAAACATTTTAGAAAAGAACAAGCTGATAATACTGCATAGTTAAAAAAAAAAAAAACTCACCATGGATGGATCTAAAAGAATGTAGAGGGGCCAGCAAGTGGTATAGTGCTTAAGGTGCTGAACTCCCACATGGCTTATTGCAGTTCAAATCCCAGACCTGGTGGCTTGAAACTCAGTGACAGTTGTGTGTGTGCATACATGCCCAAAGTTCCAAGAGGAAAATGGAAGAGAAGGGATTGCAGTGTGACCAACCCCCTAAGGGGTGATTTCTCACTTTCTCTCTCCCTCTCTCCCTCTCCCCCCCCTCGCTTGCTCTCTCTCTCTCTCTTTCTCAGTGTATCCAGCAAGCACACATATCCTATATTAAAAATCTCTTTTTAAAAACAACAACAAAGGGACCAGCAGTTAGCATAATGGCTATGTCCCTGCACTCCCATGTAGTCGACCTGGAGGCTTGCAAGTCATGCCGGACATGTGTGCATGTGTGCATGTGTGTACGCATGCCCAAAACCCTGAGAAGAGAATGGAGGAGAAGGGCTTGTGGTGTGGCCGTCCCCACTGGGGGGTGATTTCTCACTTTCTGTCTCTCTGTCTCTCTCTGTCTTTCTGGCGAGCACATGCACCCTATAGCAAAAACAAAACAAAACAAAAAGCACATTATTTTCTAATGTTGTGATGCTTCTTGATTCCTAATACCCTAGTGATTTGGTGAATGTGTGTTCACTTTGGCAGTGAGGACAAAGAGTAGCACTGAGGAAGTGGCTTACCCCACGAAACCCAGACTCCTTTCTCAGGATTCATCTTTTTCTTTCTTTTTTTTTTTTTTAGACATTTTGCCTTAGGGCACGTGTACTTGTCCCAGAGAGAGAGAAAAAAAAAACTTGGAGACAATGAGAGGGAAAGTGAGAAATCCTCCTCCCTAGGGGAATGGCCATGGCACAGTCCCTTCTCCATTCTCCTCCTGGGATCTTGGACATGCGTGCACATGCGTCTGGCGTGAGTTTCCTTTTTTTTTTTTTGAGAGGTTTTTGCTATAGGGCGTGTGTGCTTGCCAGAAAGACAGAGAGAGACAGATAGCCAGAAATCACTCCCCGGGGGGATGGCCATGCCACAATCCCTTCTCCTCCATTCTTTTCTCTGGATTTTGGGCACGCACACACGTGTGCTCGGCGTGAGTTTAAGCCACTGAGTCCAGGACTCCAACCACTGTCGACTGCATGGGAGTCCAGCAACGTAGCCATTACGCCATTTGCTGGTACCTCTGACATGAGTTTTAAGCCACCGGTTCCAAGACTTGAACTATGGTCGACCATGTGGGAGTCCAGTGACATAACCACTATGCTATCTGCTGGTCCCTGAAGATTCACCTTTTACTGACTTGGGGAAGGCACAGGTGTCCCATTCTCTTCCCCAGTTGGGAAGTGGACATGACTCTCTCCTCTTTTACACTGTTAATGCACTTTGTCCTGACTGAAAAGGGCTATTACTTTCAAGGAAAAAACGTAGTTATAAAGCCACATACCCTGGTTCAAATTCCATTTGTGTCACTCACTAGCTGTGGAATTTTGGACGGTTTATTTAACCTTTCTAAGCTTAGTTCCTGACTCATAAAGCTTTTGTCATACTCTCTTGGCAAACTTTTTTTCTTTTAACTGCTTTATTGAGAGATAATTCACATACCATATACTTTACCCATATATTGTGTACAGGCAAAAATGTTAGAACAATCTAAACTTAGCATCTTTATGGTTCGTATTCTTCTAAATGCGTATTTTATCCTAAGTTAAATAGGTCTCTCTTAAGAGAGAATTATTTTGTCCGTTCTACTTTATAGCATGCTGTCTCACATGGTCATTTCTAGTGCTCTTCCAATGTGACCAAAGTCTGCTTTGTTTTATAGCTTATTCTTCTCTTTGGAGGAATCCCTTATCTCTGGAGCCTGTCTGGACGGTTCTGTGGTTATGCCGGCTTTGGACCAGAGTATGAGGTATGTGAATCGTTAGCGTCTATTTGTCAGAGCCTTTTTTTCCTGCTTGGCATGCTTTATACTAGTTTTTTGGTTCCCACCATAATTAGACTTGTCTTAGAATAGCACTAGTTGCTGTAACAAACCCCAGAATATCAAGGGCTTACCACAGCAGCTCAGTTTTCTATCATGTAATGGCCCAATGTGGACATTTTTAGTTAGCAAGTGACTCTCTTCCATGTGGTAAGCTGGGACCCAGTTGCTCATCTTAGAAATTAGTTATCCAGTGCCCCAGAGACGATTGAGGAAAGGACACCTTTTTCCTCGGCTCCTAAGTGACACCTGTCCTTTGCATTCACACATACTGGTGAACCAGTCATTTAGTCTCACCAGATGTGAAGAACTGGGAGATGTGGTCTCTGCTCCTTAGGAACAACTCTGTGCAATGAAAAGAGAAGCAGGGACTTTGGTGAGCCCACCCCCAGGTACTCGTCACATGCCGCAGTCCTTCCAAGACAGTGTCTCTCCTGAGTCTCCACAGAGCTGTTGGAGCTGAACACCCACTTTCATGTGTATGGGTACCTGGGCTTTAATTCAGCTCATTCCGTACCCCTTTAATGTGTACCCTTTTCTAAAGCAACCACCTCTTATGAGCTCTTACTCCTGTGGAATCTCTGTGTCTCATAGACTTGATCCTGACCCTCTTTGTGGTATGGCAATATTCTTACATGTTCTCTGCGTTGTTTCAGAAATGATTTAAGGTGGCTTCAAGTAAACATCATGACTGGCTTCTCATTCAGTTCTCATCTTAAATGCCCTTTCTTTGAGAGACCTTTTCTTTCTTTCTTTTTTTTTTTTTTAAAAGAAGTATTTATTTAAATTTGGGCCAGTAGGTGGTGTGGTGGTTAAGGTGCTGGATTCACATGGCTGACTGTGGTTCAAGTCTCAGACCTGGTGGCTTGCTTTCTCACTTTCCCCCTTTCTCTGGTGAGCACATGTGCCTTCTAATAAATTTAAAAATAATAACAATAATAAATAAAACATTTAAAATATATTTATTCAGTTATATTTATTTAAATTTGACTAGAGAGAGGGAAAGTGAGAAAACAAGTTACCAAGTCTAGGGCTCGAACTACATTTGGTCGTGTGGGAGTTCAGCAACTTAACCAATGTGCCACCTGCTGGCCTGAGACACCTTTTCCTTATCAAGTCATCTAAAATAGTATCTATCATTCTTTTCCCTTTTTTTTTTTTTTTTAAGTTTGCTGTAGGGCTCATGTGCTATCTGGAGAAAGAAAGTGAGTGAATGAAAACACCCTCCCTCCCCCAAGAGGATGGCCATGCCACAGTCCTTTCTTCTCCATTTTCCTCTGGAATTTTGGGCTCACATGCACTGTGTTGGAGTGTATTTCAAGGTATTAGATTAGGGAGTCAAACAGTGCAGTCAGCCAAGTGGGATCCAGCTATCTTAACTAACCACAGTGTCACCAGCTGGCCTGCCTGCTGTCATTCTTTAGTGTATCAAAACCTTTAAAAAGTTTATACCTGAGGCTGGCAGGTGATGTGGTAGTTAAAGCGCTGGATTCCCACATGGCTGACTGCACTTTGAGTCCCAGACCTAGCGGCTTGCTTTTTCACTTTCCCTTTCTCTCTTTTTCTGTCTCTCTTTTGTCAAATTAAAAAATAGTAATAATAAATGGAATTAAATAAATAAATATTGGGAACCAGCAGTTAGCATAATGACTAGGTCGCTGGACTCCCATGTAGTCGACCGTGGTTTGTGTCCCGGACCCGGTGGCTTAAAACTCACGCCAGGCGCGTGTGCGTCCGTGCCCAAGATCCCGAGAGGAGATATATATATATTTTAAAAAGCAGTGTATACCTTTTGACACCAGACATTTCACCTCTGTGAAGTTATGGGAAGTGAATGCATGGGATGTATGTATAAAGCGGTTCATTGAAACATTGGGACGAATGCTGTAATGGGAATAGTCTAAGTGATGGAATCCCCTAGAGCCATTAACTGCAAAGATGTAGATCTCTGGTGGTGTGGAAAGATGTTTGTGGTATGGTGCTGTTAAGTGAGAAAAGCAGATATTCAGACAGTCTGTGTAACATAAGTGCATTTTTGGGAGATGGGATTCTTTTTTTAAAATTTAAAATGTTATCATGCCGAGCACATGTGCATGCATGCCCAAAATCTTGGGAGGAGAATGGAGGAGAAGGGATTGCAGTGCAGCCATACCCACTGGGGGCTGATTTCTCAATTTCTCTTGCTCTGTCTCTCTTTTTCTCTCAGTCAGACAAGCACATGTGCCCTATGGGCAAAACCTTTAAAATTTTTTAAATTAAATTTTTACATTTTAAAAATTTTATTTATTTATTTATTTTAGTTTTGTTACAGGGCATGTGTTCTTGCTGGGGTGAGCCAAAGAGAGATAGAGAAGGATTTGGGGGCATGTGTGTACACACCCCTGGTGTGTTTTTCAAGTTACCAGGTTGGATTCAAACCAAGCAGTTGGCCATGTGCAAAGCAGCACCTTAACCTCCATGCCACCTACTGGCCCGGATGATGGGATTATGTTTTCTTCATTTTGAGAAGGTCCTTGGAGTCTGTTTTTAAAGTGTTCCCAGGTCAGCCCATGGTATGATGGCTAGGGTGACTGGATCTTGCATAGCCAACTGCACAGTTTGAATCCTGGAACTGGTGGCTTTAGAAAGACACTAGGTGTGTGTGCATATGTTCCCAAATCCCTAAGAGGATTGAGAGATGGAGGACAAGGGATTGCAGTGTGGCCATTCCCCATGGGACATGATTTCTCACTTTTCCTCTCTCTCTTTTTCTGTCTCTCTCCTGCAGCCAGTACTTGTGTCTCTCTGGCAGAAAAATTTAGAAAAAGAAAAATTGTTCCCATTTTCTGTTTGGAACCAAGTGTTAGAATAAACCACCCTGATAGTTGTAGCCAGATGAATCTTTCCCCTTCCTGTCTCCCTCCCTCCTTTGTTTAGAAACTTGTATTTCCAAGCAAAGGCTCCATCTTTGCTGCCAAATCAAATATATTTTGGTAGTGCATGGTATACTCAAATTTACTAGAAAGGATTCGTTTTTTATACTGGGAAATGAGAAGGATAGTGACAGAGTGGTGAGGGGAAGGGACAAAAGACTTTGTTTAGGGCCCTCACGTGGCGTGGTGGTTAAGACGCTGGATTCCCACATGATTGACTTCAGTTTGCATCCTGGACCTGGCGCCTTGCTTCCTCACTTTCCCTCTCTCTCTCTCTCTCTCTCTTTGATCAAATTAAAATAATAATAATGAATAAAATTAAGTAGTTATTTAAAAAAAAGACTTTGTTTCATTGCTCTTTTCCCCTTTCTAGCAACTCTGTTCTTGCCAATTAGACCTTGTCATCCACTATCTCAGGAAAAAGTTTTAAAGATAAATTGGCAGTTTTTGATCTTTTGAGGGCCTGTTTAATGGCAATTAAAGTAATTCTTTTTTCTTTTTAAAATTTCTTTTATAATTATTTTATTTTAACTTTATTTATTATTATTGTTACTTTCCAGTTTGATCATACAGACACAGAGAGAGAGAGGGAAAGTGAGAAAGCAAACCACCAGATTCAGGACTTGAACCACGGTCAGCCACGTGGGAGTCCAGCGCCTTTAACCACCATGCCACCTGCCGGCCCCTCTTTTTTAAAAATTTGACTGAAGGTGCTTGCATTCACCAGAAAGAGAGAGAGAGAAAGCAAGAGAGAGAGAAAAAGAAAGTACCTTCCAATGGGGCATGGTTATACTTTTCCACTTCTCCGTCCTGTTGGGATTTTGACCATGCACACACACACCTGTCATGTTTTTCAAGTTGCTGGGACTGGGATTTGAACTACGTGATATGCCACATGAGATCTGACTCCCTTAACCACCAGGCCACAGGGCCAGCGCATTAAAGTATTAATAATTCTTGAAGGTAATTTTCTCTACTAGATTTTGACTTTTTGTGAGAACTTGAGCATACCCCACCCCTTCTGTCCTGGCTTAGGGTATTGAGACTCCATCGTAAGTTTCTCTGGTAGATCCCAGTCAGGCCCATCATCATCAACTTACAGGCTGCTCTCTTCTCTTGTGATACTTTTGCAAATTGTGTGAATTTCCTCCTCCTCTCCTGTTCTTTGCTGTCATACTAATTTATTCCTTTCTTCAAGGTGGCATCCCAAGTCTCATCAACTCTATAAGCCCTCCCTGAATTCACCAGCATACGTTGCTGTCTCTTTTCTGAATTCTTCCAACTGTTTTTGTCTATATGACTGAAGGTAACTTTCAAATAGTGCCTGTGTGATGAAAGAGAAATTGTTTTATTCAGTCTTTACGTCTTCTCTCAGCAAAAAAAAGATCTTTTTCCTGAGGGCAGGGATGATGTTTCAGACCTCGTATTAGCCGTAGAATCACGCACATTGTTTGGGATATCAGTGCTCGACAGCTTGTTGATGTGTTCTCTGGGAGTTTATTAGAAGAATGAATTACATTACACTGTTAACAAGTGCCACATTTTTCCTTCTTGTGTTTAGATCATGCAGTCCTTGGTGTTTCTGCTGTTGGCTACACTCTTCAGTGCGTTGACTGGTTTGCCGTGGAGCCTTTATAATACTTTCGTGATAGAAGAAAAACATGGCTTCAATCAACAGGTATAATAGAGAATATGATGTTCTTTTTTAAATGTGAAGGTCGTCTGTGCTTTTGCCCTGTGTAATGTCATGTAAACATAGCTTGTATGTAGAGCGTGGATTATTGATACTTGAGAAAAACAGGAACAGCAAATATATAAAGATCATAAAATTGTGTTTTTCAGCTAATAACATTTAAATGGCATTGTCTTAAACTGTCAAATGCTAGAGAAGTATTTATTGTCTTAGAGCTACTCGTGTTACTGCATATTAATTTTAAAAATTGCTTTAGTGACCATATCCTTTTTATTTACTTAGCAGTTATTTAAAAAGCAAAACCAGTTTCTCAGTTTCTTGTGGTGATTTTTTTTTTTTTTTTCAGACTTTGGGGTTCTTCATGAAAGATGCAATCAAGAAATTTATCGTGACTCAATGTATTTTACTGCCCGTGTCTTCACTTCTACTTTACATTATTAAAATTGGGGGTGATTATTTTTTTATTTATGCTTGGCTGTTCACATTAGTTGTTTCTCTGGTGAGTAAAATATTTATTTCATTTTCCTTTATATAAGTGCTTTGGTGAGATGGTGATTTCAGCTTCATTAGCATGTAAACTGTTCTGAAGAAGCTGGCAAAATATAAATAGGTACGCATATACCTTTCTTTCTTGCCTTCTGCTCTTGAGTATAGCAGGAGATTGACCGTAAGTTTTCTTCTCTTTGTGCTGACTTCTGCAGATCCTAGAAGCTAGTTGGTAGTCTTTTTTTGGAGAGGTTTTTGCTATAGAGTGCGTGCGCTCACCAGAAAGACAGAGAGACAAAAAGTGAGAAATCACCCCCTGGGGGGATGGCCACACCGCAGTCCCTTCTCCATTCTCCTCTTGGAATCTTGGGCATGCACGCACAAGTGCCTGTGTGAGTGTAAGCCACTGGGTCAGAGACTTGAACAGCGGTCAGCTACATGGGAGTCTAGTGACATAGCCATTATGCCAACTGCCGGTCCTGGTAGTCACTTTTAATGATCTAGTTTCAGGCAATTTTGGGCTTTGTATTTATGAGTTGCCACCAGAATGGGTGACTGAGTGTGATGATTTAATGACTTTAGATGGACCTCCAGTGCCTAAAAATTACGAATATTTTGAAAAGAGAATTAACCTAAAAGAGTCAAGAGGAGGAAAGTGTGCCAGCTGGTGGTGTGGTGGTGAAGGCGACTAGACCCACATGACTGGCTTTGCGGTTCTGAGTGCTGGACCCAGTGGCTTGAGAAACACACCTAGCACACGGACGTGCCCAAAATCCCAAGAGGAAGATGGAGGAGAAGGGATTGTGGCACGGTCGTCTCCCCTTGGGGGTTAATTTCTTACTTTCTCTCTCTCTCTAGTGAGCATAAGTACCCTATAGGAAACAAACAAACAAAAAGAAGAAGGAAAGTATACAGTTATCCAGTTTTCTTCTACCCTTTTCTCTCTTCCTTTCCCTCTTTACTCCTTCTTCTCTATTCCCTTCTCCTTCCTCCTTTTATCCATTCTCTTTCATTTCTGTCTCCCTTTTCTCTTCCCCTTTTCTCCCTGTCTTAGTCCGTTTTTGCATTAGTAACAAAAATACCTGAACCTGGGTGATTTTTATAAAGAAAATAGAGTTTTATTTACAAACTCACAATTCTGGTGACTGGAAAGTCCAAAGGCTGAGGCCTGCAGCATGACTGACAGAAGGACAGAGGGTGGCTGGTGCATACAGAACGACAGTGAGCAGCTTGCTGTCTCTTGTTTAGCAATCAACTCTCATGAGAACTCCCTTCTTTTTTTTTGAGAGGTTTTTGCTATAGGGCGCATGCGCTCGCCAGACAGACAGAGAGAGACATAGAGACAGAAAGCGAGAAATCCCCCCCCAGGGAGGATAGCCACGCCACAATCCCTTCTCCTCCATTCTCCTCTCGGGATCTTGGGCACTCACGCACATGCGCCTGGCATGAGTTTAAACCACCGGCACCGGGACTCTAACCACAGTTGACTACATCGGAGTCCAGCGACATAGCCATTACGCCAACTGCTGGTCCCACCCTTCTTCTCACGAGATCACAAACTTAGTGGGTCTCATGAGACGCTATTAATCTGTTCACGACAGTGTTGCCTTCCTGCTACAACAATCATGGACCAGTCACTAGGTCTCATTACCTCCCAACATCAAATTTCAAAACATGAGATTTTGGGGAACAGATCATATACAGTACATACACCCTCCTCCTGCCGGCTGTCCTTTCCTCTCTTCCTTCTCTTTCCCTTTTCTTATTTTTTTATATTTTCCCTCCCTTACCTCTTTCTTCCCCCTCTTTTCTTTCCCATATCCTAAACCACTTCACAATAGAAGCACTACAGTACGGTCAAAATGAGCTGTCCAGACCTCTCCAGTTCAGCTGATGAGAGGTTTATTTTAGTCCAGATTGTGTGATGCTTATTGCTTCACTTCCCACTCGTGGGATCAAGATCAGAAAATGGGTATCTGTAAATTGAAGTAAAAGGAAAGAGCAGTGGAAATGCTTCAGAATGCTCAAGGATATGCTATTTCAACTAAAGTGTACAATTAGGAACTATAGGTAATTCATTTTAATAGACAGAACACCGGGTAACAGCACACAGTTAAGCTCTAATAATTCTTTTTTAACAAAGACTTTAGATCTATCATGATAACCATGAAAGGCAGAATCGTGTTATAAAGTGTCGGAAATAGTTTTTTCTGTTTCGTTTTGTTTTATTTTAGTTTTTGTTCTAGGGCACTTATGTTCCAGAAAGAGAGAGAGGGAGAGTGAGAAATTACCCCCCAGGCAGGATGGCCATGCCACAGTCCCCTTCCTCAGCTCTCTTCTTCAGATTTTTGGGCACACTCGCACACACACGTGCCCAGGGCAATTCTCAAGCTGCCAGGCCTGAGATTCAAACTATGAAACTGGCCATGTCGGATCCAGTATCCTAACCTCTATGCCATCTGCTGGCCTGGCAATAGTTTATTTGTTTGTTTGATTTTGAATTGCCATAGGACATGTGTATTTACGAGAGAGAAAGAGAGAGAGACCCTCCCAATAGAGCATGGTCATTTCCTGATCCGTTTTTGTCGATCCCATCAGGATTTTCAGCACACACACACGTACCCAGCATTTTGTTCAAGCTGTTAGGGCTGAGACTTGAGCCATGGTGGCTATGTGCAGTCAGCTCTCTTTACAGAGATAATCTACTGCGCTGTGAGGCCATCCCCTCGTGATAATTTTGAAAGGATTATGTATTGCCTCCTAGATATTTTAATTACTGTGAGTAGCATTAGCTACTAAAATAAAATTCACAAGCTTACTGAATAAGCAGACTACTTATTTTAATTTAATATCCAAGCAAATATCAAGGTGTTACCATTTGGCAGTATTTGGGCCAGAGAATACCAGAGCAAATAAACTTCCTATTCTCAAGTTTCAGGTCAACATAATTGTCTAGTATATTATTATGTATTATTATGTATTATTAGTGTATAATAAGTGGTGTTTCTTTAAAGACATATTTACAGGTTGTTTTGACATTTACTTTTCAGGTTCTTGTCACAATCTATGCGGATTATATTGCTCCTCTATTTGACAAGTTCACACCTCTGCCTGAGGGAAAGCTCAAAGAAGAAATTGAAATAATGGCCAAGGGTATTGACTTCCCTTTGACTAAGGTGTATGTTGTCGAAGGTAAGGCACCTGAGGGAAGAAGATCTTATTTGAGTGGCTTTGTTTTATTTGAGTACTTTATTTATTTTTAAAATATGAACAGAGAGGGACAGAGTGAGAGAGAGAGAGAGGGAAAGTGAGAAAGCAAGCCCCCAGGTCCGGGACTTAAACTGTGGTCAGCCACGTGGGAGTCCAGCACCCTTAATCACCGTGCCACCTGCTGGCCCCTTTAATACTTGATTTTTAAAACTTTGTTAAAAGAAGGAATCTGATTTTTTTTTTAAAGTTTATTTATTCATCTCTTCCGTGAGAGAGGACAGAGATAAGCACCCCAGCACCACCACAACTGTACCACGGGCATGTGTCCTCACACCTGGTGTGGATGGGGACACCCCTGGCCATGAACCTGGCATCCCCATGTGCCTCAGCATTGCAGCGTTGAGTCGCTGTTACTTCATCACGGCTGACCAAGGGCGTTCTTGATTTTGCTTTTTAAAATTTGCTATTTAATGGTTAGCATTTACATCCTGACATTTTCAGGTTTATAGGAATTGATGACATAATCCAGGAATGGAAACTAGTAGTCTCTTGCCAAAGCCTGCTCTTGCCTACAGCTGTGTTTGATTGGCTTAAATACAGTATCGTTTCTAATTTTTGGCCAAGGCCTCTTCACTCCCTGTTATATTATGTTGTATATCAGACTGATTTATTCACTTCTGCCACCCTCCTGGCTCCTCTAGGTGATTGTAAATTTGGAGGCTCATGCACAAAAGCAGTGCTGCTGGCTTTGCCTCCTTCCGCAAAGCCGCCCGTTTCTGGATGGCTGACTTCCCCTGCAGATTACCAGAAACTGGAGCATCGCTGGGTGCTTCAGATGAGTTACACTCTGCTTTTTTGATGATTGCTTTTGAGAGTTAAGCTATTTACAACTTGCATCAGACTATAAATTTTCAAGGAATACTCAAAGAGAGAAGACAAAACTGTTGTGTGGTACCATGACTTCCAAAACCTGTAAATTAATTTATATAAATGAATCCAACTGGCTCTGCCTCTGCCACTGCCACTTTCCAGCTTTTGGATCTTGGACAAATCACTCCACTCCTCTGGAAGTCAGTTGTGCCTCCTCTAAACCGTGATCTGCAAATGTTTTCTGTAAAGGAACAGCTAGCAAGTGTTTAGGCGTTGTGGGCCTCGTGGCCCCTGTTAAAGCTGTTCACCTCTGCCTTTGTAGTGCAAAAGCAGCCACAGACGAGGTAAGCCAAGCAGCATGCCTTGTCCGGTAATCTTACAGCAATAAGTAGCAGGTTGGATTGGGTGTACAAGCCATGACTTGCTGATCTCTGCTCTAAACTGTTACCAGTGGAAAGCAGCCACGTGAGGTAAAGGAGTGGAAACCAAGGAGTTGTCGCAGGGTCAGGTGAGAACAGGCGACCATAACAGAGAAGAATGAATTTAACATCAGTAGACGAGCATTGGTCTCAGACCTCAATTGCTCCTACACAGTGGAAGGATAAGGCAGGTCACGATTATTACTTTAGGCTCTGAGATCACTTTTTTTTTTTTTTAGGGTAGTATTAAATGAGCAGCACAATAATTAGTATAGTAGAATGATCTCTGAGGGGTGGAGGGGCAGTCTGAGGCACTGACCCTCGTTATAGTCAGATAATGTGGAGCGATAGCGACTGATATGACCAGTTAGATATGTGGCGTTATTTTCTCAGATGAAATAGTCTGGGAAGGCTTTATGGAGGGTTATGGCATGAAGTGGGATCGAACAGGAAATCAGAACTTGAGTAGGTCATGGGTACTTATCATAGGTCTGGTTTTGGAATTCATAGGCTTCTCTTTGAATCCCAGTTCTACAATGAATTACCTGGGTGACTTTGAGCAATTTACCTTTGCTGAACAGCAGTTTGCTTCCCTGCAATATATATTTTATTGGTGTTAACAATGGTAACAGCCCTCAAAATTTTTTTATTTAAAGAATTGGCCAGAGAGAGAGAGGCTTTTTTTTTTTTTTTTTTTTTGAGGAGGAGGTTTTTTTTTTTTTTTTTTTTTTTTTTTTTTTTTGAGAGATTTTTGTTATAGGGCATGTATGCTCACCAGAGAAACAGAGAGAGAGAGAAAGCAAGAAACCAACTCCCCCAGGGAGATAGCCATGCCACAGTCCCTTCTTCTCCATTCTTCTCTCGGGATTTTGGACATACACATATATGTGCTCAGCGAGAGTTTCAAGCTGCCAGGTCCGGGACTTGAACCATGGTTGACCGTATGGGAGTCCTGCACCTTAACCACCATGCCGCCTATTGACCCCGAGATAGGCATTTTTGACTGAGCCTCATCCTGTCACATTTCTCCTGCCCCAGCCTCCCATAGGCCATGCCACTGCCCTGGCTCGTTGTCGGTTGGGCCTCTGCCATGTTGCCTCAGCCACCGTACCCTCCCACTTGTGCCGCTGCAGCCAAGCCTCCTTGAAAATGTTTTGAATGGCTGAATGGGCATTGTTTCTAACAATAACAACATACATCACAGATTTATGAATCAGTAGGGGTATTGTGAAAAGCCAAGGATCCTGTTCTCAAAAAAATATCAAATAGCAAATGCTGTGCAGAGAATTAAACTAGTGTGGGGGGCTGGCAGATGGCATGGTGGCTGAGGGCACTGGACTCCCACATGGCCAACTATGGTTCAAGGCCTGGACCTGGCAGCTTGCTTTCTCATTTTCTCTCTCTCTTTCACTCTTGTTCTCCCTTTCCCCTGGTCAAATTTTAAAAATTAATTAATTACCTGATTAATTAAAACTAAGATAATTAAGCTAGTGTGATGTGACAAAGGATAACTGAGTAGATACTTTAGACTGGGTCCTCAGAGAAGGCCTTTTTTGGGCAAATGGCAAGCTGAGGCCTGGAAGTCAGAGCCATTCATGTTGAGATCAACAGAAGACCTAGACTTAGCACCTTCAGGGAACATGAAGCAGTTCGGTGTGGCCACAAAGACAGGAGAATGTAATGAGATGAAAACTGAGATGTAGGCAAGGGTCTGTCCAAGCCTTTGTAAGTCAAGGTAAGGAGTTTGGATTTTACTTAAAGTTAAGTAGGAAAGGCCACTGAAGTCTTTTTAGACTAGAAAGTGACATGGTCTGGTTAATATTTTTTAAATACCTTAGGTGGTTGTATGGAAGACAGTGTGGGGAGAGGCCAGAGTGGAAGCATCCTTTTGAGATCTTAGGCAGACATGCATATGCTCCTGGTGTATTTCTCAAGACACCAGGTCCGGGACTCAAACTGTCTGCCATGTGGGATCCACGGAAGGAGAGGGGGTTTTTTTTTTTTTTTTTTTTTTTTTTTTTGAGAGATTTTTGTTATAGGGCATGTATGCTCACCAGAGAAACAGAGAGAGAGAGAAAGCAAGAAACCAACTCCCCCAGGGAGATAGCCATGCCACAGTCCCTTCTTCTCCATTCTTCTCTCGGGATTTTGGACATACACATATATGTGCTCAGCGAGAGTTTCAAGCTGCCAGGTCCGGGACTTGAACCATGGTTGACCGTATGGGAGTCCTGCACCTTAACCACCATGCCGCCTATTGACCCCGAGATAGGCATTTTTGACTGAGCCTCATCCTGTCACATTTCTCCTGCCCCAGCCTCCCATAGGCCATGCCACTGCCCTGGCTCGTTGTCGGTTGGGCCTCTGCCATGTTGCCTCAGCCACCGTACCCTCCCACTTGTGCCGCTGCAGCCAAGCCTCCTTGAAAATGTTTTGAATGGCTGAATGGGCATTGTTTCTAACAATAACAACATACATCACAGATTTATGAATCAGTAGGGGTATTGTGAAAAGCCAAGGATCCTGTTCTCAAAAAAATATCAAATAGCAAATGCTGTGCAGAGAATTAAACTAGTGTGGGGGGCTGGCAGATGGCATGGTGGCTGAGGGCACTGGACTCCCACATGGCCAACTATGGTTCAAGGCCTGGACCTGGCAGCTTGCTTTCTCATTTTCTCTCTCTCTTTCACTCTTGTTCTCCCTTTCCCCTGGTCAAATTTTAAAAATTAATTAATTACCTGATTAATTAAAACTAAGATAATTAAGCTAGTGTGATGTGACAAAGGATAACTGAGTAGATACTTTAGACTGGGTCCTCAGAGAAGGCCTTTTTTGGGCAAATGGCAAGCTGAGGCCTGGAAGTCAGAGCCATTCATGTTGAGATCAACAGAAGACCTAGACTTAGCACCTTCAGGGAACATGAAGCAGTTCGGTGTGGCCACAAAGACAGGAGAATGTAATGAGATGAAAACTGAGATGTAGGCAAGGGTCTGTCCAAGCCTTTGTAAGTCAAGGTAAGGAGTTTGGATTTTACTTAAAGTTAAGTAGGAAAGGCCACTGAAGTCTTTTTAGACTAGAAAGTGACATGGTCTGGTTAATATTTTTTAAATACCTTAGGTGGTTGTATGGAAGACAGTGTGGGGAGAGGCCAGAGTGGAAGCATCCTTTTGAGATCTTAGGCAGACATGCATATGCTCCTGGTGTATTTCTCAAGACACCAGGTCCGGGACTCAAACTGTCTGCCATGTGGGATCCACCTGCCTCAGCCACCACGCCATCAGCTGGCTCCGTGGTATCTGCTTCTAA